GAGTTAGTACGTCTTTGGTCATAGTTGCCCGTGCTCCCCACAAGTCGGTTTTTGTGTTTACATTGCCAAGCAAGTGTCGTTCGTTTGTCCCCAACTGAGGACCATGGCTTTGCGTGTGACAGAGTTAAGGTATTAACTCTGTTGGCCAGCGCAACACCCAAACCTCTCTCGTTTGCCTTTAAGTATGTCTGGCTTTTTGTCCGTCCATTGGACTGAATTTTTGTTGTTTGTGTAGAGCTGGTATGTGTGTACAATGTAGGTTTATATATGTGGCATTTGAGCCATAAGCTCTGTATACACGAATGAAATGGCAATTTTCGAAATTGTCGTCTTTATCCAGCCAACAGCAGCAGTAGCAGCAGAAACAACACCAACAAATGCAACTATTTTCTCTGTTGCAACATGTGATATGGTTTCCTGTATCCTTTATATCAAACATCCTGGATCCCTTGTGCACTAGTTTTCTTGTGTGTTATGGTTATACTATTCTATAACTGCATTATTTTGTTGTTGGTCTCATAGTTACGTTGTTGTTGTATAACTGCTTCTACATCATTTCGCTGCAGCTACCATAGTGGGTATTTTCCTCAATAAATGTGTGTGTAGGTATGTGTGTTTTACAGCAACAAAAAATTGTCATTCATTTCTATATCTCCGTTCTGTACTGCTATCCCTTTCTAACACAGTTGGTTGACAATGTTACTCTTTACTCTTGTGTGCCATGTTTGATATTATTGTTGTTGTTGTCATTGGGTTGGTTGATAGTTTTGGATTTCATTGTGACATTCTCTGCTCTGTTCGGTGACAAAGAGCGTGGCATTTATACATGGCTGTGTGTGTCAGTGAGAACCTTAAAATGTACTGATATGGGGGACGACATTTGTCGTTGCCGTTGTTGTTGTTGTTATTGATGTCATCTTATAATGGTGAGTTGGTTATATGGGAATAGGCTCTTGGGCGACGTTTTTATGTAATGTGAATATTGTTAGGCAATGAACCAATGACATTGCAGCATTATTGGTGACATGTTGTCGCACATAATTATTTGGTATGAATGTGTATATTAATTAAAAATGGAGGAAAAATTAGAAGTGGCTCTGAAAATAGTTAGATAAGTATTGGGTTAAACATACCTACCAATTATCGGCATTTTTTGTGTTGAAACTCATATAAATAAGAATTTTTGTTAATAAATAAATATACTTATATTATTTTAAAAGTTGTTTTTAGCTATATTCGATGCAAAATTTTTATATATTCTGTTTAAATTCAGAGTTATGTCAGCGATGGCCCTTGAGCACGTGCGAGACAATGAATATTTATAAGCAAAATAGAATTTAGTACGAGTAAGAGTAAATAACTGTCAACTGTAACTGTAAAAAATGAACTTTTTGAAATTTATCACTACTTAAAATGGAAAAAAGTGTAAAGCTAATTCTCTCAAATAAAAGTAATGTTCTTAATTTACAAATAATTGGAATGATTTTTATACCATATGCCATAAGGCATATTTTAAAACTTAAAACTCCTTACATTTTAAAGTGACTATGGCAGAGCTGTTAAGCTGTCCTAAAATCTGCTATACGACAATATGCATATTCAGCAGGGTCACTATTAAGAAATGTAGGTTAACATTGGGGTTTAAATTTGCAATCGGTTAAAAATAATATCTGACAAATATATATGAAACGTGGATATAAGAGCAATTGGTATATCTGAATCAGTATTGTCCAAAGTTGACTGATTTAATTCTACTTGGAACACAATGGTATGATCCCAAATGAACAATAATAGGTTATATCTAATTAAGGGCCGATATCGGAAAAATTGTATTTCTATACCGTATATGATATCTGATACCAAATATAATTGTTATGGAGGGCATTTGCGACTTAAGTATCAAATCTGATATAACTTATATATGATAGTTATTACTATAAGGTGAACCCTTTTTTCACACGTGCTAAAATTTAACTAATTTGGACATAGTTTTATCACAATTGGACAATAAATACGACTATATACATCATTTGCTACGGTCAGAGCTCGGACAATATCGGCCCACTCCTTATGGTATTCTGCGCAAAATGTTCAAATCTTCCCAGAAAAAATGCGTCAGATCCTAGAATGGACAATATCGGCCGACTTCCCTTATTTTCTATACCACAAATTATTTAGAGTCTTTTAAAAAAGTTAGATAAGACTTGTACTAAAATTTTGCACATTCCAAAATTTTTACTACTCGAACTCTCTAGTACGAGAATAGAAAGAACCACAAGGGGTCAACCTTTTGAATCCTTCTAACATATCTAATATGCTAAACATATCAGTCAATGTTTTTTTGTGTATCTCAATATTTCTATCAACCATGGACCAAATTTAAATATGGAATATGTCGGTCCACTCTTTGCGGTACTTTTGTAAGGAAAGCTAAAAATTTGAATGAACCCTTATTCCCTTGAAATTGAAAATAAATGTTTGATTTTTTTCAAACTTTGCATATCCCAACATTTTTTTCATTAGTAGATGGTACCACTATTTTGGTACCTCTTTCAAAAAAGTTAAAAATTTTCAAAAAAAAAAAAAAAAACTTATAAAATCAGTCAGTCCAAAAACTGACACGTCAGACTGAGGTCAGATGCGAACTGGGCAATATTGGTACCCTTTTTCGCCACCTACCCAATAAAGAGTCACAGATGAATAATCACAGTTAAAATATATTAAAATAAGTGGACATTGCCTGAGAGTATACCTCTGTCGGCGAAATCGACTGATACTTTACATTTTTTATAATGGGTTTTGAATAAATTGGAATGGAAGATTGACCTAAAAGTAACTTTTAAGGTAATATAGATGTAGCAACGAACTGCTATATATTTGGCTGGAATATTTGGTTCTTAAAATGTAAAAAACTTCCTCAGATTAAAAGTATTTCTTTTCATGGGCTGTAATCTGAATTCAGAAATTGTACACAAATAAATATTTTATTTTTTTTTTTTTTGGGCTCTAAAATATAATTAAAACAAGGTTAATAATTGTAGCTAAGTTCCATGATTTTGAACTTCCCTGACCCATAAAAAAATTAAGATAAAATCGTGGGTAGTTAAATTTTTTATGATTTATATGCAATAAATACCTAATAATCCACAATCAGGACAAAAGCGTTTTTTACATTAGTCGGCAGCATTCTCCAATTATCGGCATAACATGTTCTCAACATGAGTACATGTTATTTTTTTTTTGTCGGAAAAAATATTTTAGATCATAATATTGTTTATTTTTTATTTAAAAAATGCTTCGTTATTTAGTCTTCATTACATGGGCAAATTAAAGAAATAATACAATTATATGTAAAAAGCCAACCGACCTAATTTATAACCCATTCTCGGCCATACAAAGGTTGAAGAGATTTCAAATTTGAAATAGGTAGAATCGTAGATAAAACAATCAAAAAATTATTTGTTTTTATTTTTTTTATTTTTAGGCAATTTATTTAATTGATTGCTTTTTATTTAATAGTTTATTCCAATTTTTTTAGTTTTCGGTTTCTTATAATGTCCAAAATGCATGTTTTAATACCCACATAAGAACTTTGGGAAAATCTTATATTTTTTTATTTCAGAAGACTGTATCAGAATAAATTGCATAACTATAAATATTTCAGAATAATATGCATGTATTAAGAGATCCTATGATAGCTCTTGAATGTTTTAAAAAGACCCTGTTAAGTTAAAAAATCTTTTTTTTATTTGAGTTTAAATTTGAAAAATGTCGACTACTGGGACATGCCAAAAAGTGGCCACTTAAATTTTCTTCTGAACCTTCTTTAATGTTATAAAAATATTCAGATGAAAAATTATTTAAACATAATGACGCATCTTTCAAAATTGTATTATGCATTATTTTTTATTTTTCGTGAAAATTTATTTTTATTTATTTTAGTTTAACGTCACCCACCATTTAACCTTAAATGTTTTAATTTTCTATTGTTACTATCTTTCATCATATTGGTACAGCAATAATGTACTATTTTTAAAAATAATCCTTCATGTTTCGTAGATAAAAACAAAAAAATAATTTTTTATTATAAGTTTATTATCGACCTTTTATATTTTTTTATTTAGCCTCAATATAAGCAATGTACTTTTTCCGTCGGTAAATCAAAGGCATGAGTTCTCATACGTCGCTCGAAATCTTGCAGTACCAACAATATTTATTTTTACTATATGTGTCTATTTAAATTTCCATCAATGGTATGTTTTCTCTCAGAATTTCCAGTGTCAACTTAAATTAATAAGTAAGAAAAATTTATTCAATCCCAAATTCTATCCGTAAAATAAAGAATTTTAGTCCTTTGTACTGCCACAGCTATGATTACATTATGGAATGAGTTAACAATTTAGCCCAGAAGAGTAAACAAAAAAATACGTACTCATTCTGCTCTGGCTAAATTGAAAAATGTAGTTCTCTTTTTCAAAACAAAAATCCAAATGAATTGTTTCACTCAATTCACTGCATTATCGACATTTTCATTTCATTCATTTAACTCTTGCAACTCATTTTCCATTTACCCTAGCATTCTATGTCCAAAGAGTTGTGGATGATTTTCAAAGAGAATATTATGTTATTGTAGAAGAGTTCCACGCTCATTGTTTCGTGTTTGGTTGTCATTCAAAAGTCGTTGTTGTTGCACCATTGTCAATATAACCTGGGGTGGGAAAAACCATGCTGTGAGTAATGTCACTCGAATGCTTGGTTACCTATACTAAGGCACAACAACAGTAATATGTGTGTATAACAGGCGGGTGGGGAAAGCACGGAGAATTGAAGAGCACGCACTCATACAAACTCTATTGAACTCTTCTCTGGCCATGGTGGGTAAATAAGAGTTGCATGAACTGGCTGACTGTTCTGCCGAGGCCCATCAAGGTAAAAATTGAACGTGCCTGGGTGTGTGTGTGTGTGCTGGACTGTTATAGTGGTGTTAGTGTTTTGTGGCACTGTGCTAAAGGCAAAAGAGACAAAAATAATGAACACACGCATCACATACAAACAAACACACAGATACTATATTCCATATCTGTGGGAATGGGAATGACTGGCCGCCGACTATGTAGCCAGCAAGCATTGTGTGTGCTCTCTGTGTGTTTGTGTGTCGCTTGACTGTGCGCTTAGAGCCGAAGTTGCTTGTCACTCGCTGGAGACATTTGTGGGCAGTTGCGTTGAACTTGTCGTCTTGTGCGTATCTTGTGAATTCATAAGGTACGGCGAACGGATATTGAAAAAAAAAAAATTGAAAAAAAACGAGAATACATTTTACGAGAGTGCTCTTTCATATTGGATTTAACAAAAAAAATTCTTAACTCATATTCTGGGAGAATGCTCTTTACATTATTGTGTCGTCTCCTTAACTAAAGTGTCAACGAGAAATAATCAAGAAAAAAGAAGAAGAACAATATTGGACTACCAATACCATTGCTGCTTCCACCACCAACACGAATACAACAACAACGGCATCACCACCATTCCCATCATCAGCATTTCATTGAGCTCTGGTGTATCGGTGTAGACGTCTCAACATTCAGTGTCACCCACGACATCACAAGAAGTGGACATACCAAAAAATTAAAAAAAAAAAAAAAATAATATTACGTCGTCTTGTGTTTTGGACAATTTTTTGTTTTTGTATTTTCATTTTCGAAAAAAAAACACACACACAAAAGTGCAACACCTAAGATACCAAGTAATCTGAAATAACTCGTTTTATATATTTGAAAAAACAAAAAAGTTTTAAGAATTAATAAACAAACATTGAGATTAAACCGGATTTAATTAATTTTGAAAAATAAAAACAAATCAAAACTAATGTCACCTGGAATTAAAAACAAATGTGAAATAACAACTAATGATTTTATTTGAAAACTATTTTGTGAACAATTTTGTGCGAAAAATAAAATCAACTAACATTAAATTTAATTAAAAAAAATTTGGATTTTGCGGAAAATTTTTGTTAACAAAACAAAAACCTTTTGATGCGATTTTCTTGAAAAAATCGACAATTTTATAAAATGTAAGTATTTTTGGAGTTTATTTATTTAATATTTTTGTTAAGGAAATTTGGTCCACCGTCGGCTTTTTTGGTAACACTAAATTATTAGAGTGCCGACGGCTATGAGATATAAAAGCTTAAACATTTTTTATTGAAACAATTTTTTAAAAACTTTCTAAAACAAAGCAACTAAAAAAAAAATCGGAAAAAATTAAAAAAAAAAATATTTTAATTTAATTTTCAAATTTCTAAAATTTCAGGTATCAAAACAAATTTGAATTTAAAATTGATTATTTTTTATTTGACTCAATCTTTTGAGAAACATTTATAAGTTTTGTTATTGAGAAAAAAAAAAAAAAATTGTTTGGCTCATTTTGAGAATTTTAATACAATTCAATATTATAAAAGAAAGCTGATTCGAATTTTCCCCTCAATTTGTTAGGAGATATCCATCGTTTTTGTTGAAAAATTGTTAAAAATATACCCAAAATTATTCCTAATTTTGAAAAAGGATATTTTCAGAGCATTTTGCTTGAAATTGTCGGATGGGCCCCCACGAAATGTTTTCGAAAAGCATTTCTGGTTACATCGATGATTTCATATACCTATTTCCCTAGACCCTACTACATATCCTATAATTCGGAAAATTTTTCCTTTAATCTTCATTTCTCATACACTAATATTTTTGGATTTCAAATAAAAATCCAAAATCCCCTAAAACGATATACCCTTGGATTCTCCTCAAAAAAAATCATTAAACAAATATACCGCAACATTTAGAGGGGTTTTTACGATCCCATTAGGAAGATAAAAATTAATAAAAGAACAGCATGTTTTCTCTCACATATAATGGGGCACATGGTTGGCTGGCTGGATGGATGGCTTGGCTATAAACAAGATTCAGTTGTGGCTCAAACTACAACTAAGCGATACCGTACACACCATCCATCCATTCATCATGCATAGAGTCAAGCTGCTGATGGTCAATCTAAAGGGACCCAGAAACATACAAAATGTCATAAAAGTAACATTTATGTATCTTCGGTTATATGTGCATGTAAATTAAGTTTTGGACAACTTTTTACAGTAGTTGTAAAACAACAACAACACAAAACCAAGCTCATGTGACAAATAGCCCACAAATCATGTTTAAGTTACTTAATTACAATTTTTTTCGTGGCTTTGAAGCTACTCCCCAACACTCTCCAAAGATTGTTGACACTTTGGGGAATATGTTGTTTTTTTGAAAAATAAAATCTCAAAATTTTTTTGACAAATGATTGACATGTTAAGTATTTGAAATTGTTGACTTCTTTATTGAATGCAAAGTCTTTTGTGATTTGTCTTTTGAACTTGTTTTTTTTATGGTCAAGAGATTTTTTTCGGGGTGATTTCATTCCACCGTTTTTGTTTTGTTTTTCTCAAGACTTTTGACCTTGGTTCTTGTGGTTTAATATTAATAATTTTGTTTTTTTTTTGTTCAAAGCAAAAAAAAGTATTATTAATTTTATTATAAAAATTTGTTACAGTTTAGTGTTGTTCTTTGGCTCACATGATAGTCCGTCCATTTGTCATGCTGAAGTTAAGTGATCAGCGGGTGTTAAAATGCTGGCTTTTTTTCTCACATTTCTCATTTTTTTTGTTTAAATTTTACTTCCTGGTTTGCTGTGTGAAACATTTTGGGGAACAAGAGAAATCGAAAATTTAAAATAGGAGTAACTATAAATATATTTTTAAGGTTAGTTTTTAGGTGTTTTTTGGGGAAAGAGAAGGGTTATTATTACCCAACATTTCTGCAGAGATCTTACAATCTCATCCAGGGCTACTGATCTAATCCAAAATCACCTAATATTATTATAGCTAATCTCTTCATTATTTATTCTCTCTCACACGCAGAGTGATTGGAACCTAGTTCCTTACCTCCTTTAAAGTCTCAAATCGCTCCTTTTTCATAGCTAGAGGTCTTTTTTCAACATTCATTCATTTTCCCTTAGAAAATAAATGATATATAACAATGTGATCCTATTTTTTCGATTTTTTATCAACACAATGATTAGATTTTAACCATTTTCCCCCTAATTTTTTTTTTAATATTTTTTTCCTTCAAATTAACCTAAAATTGAAACCAAGTTCCCTATCCTTTTCACAGACCTTGTTCATTAATTACAGTTCCATTTTCTTGAAGTTAATGACAGTATAGTTGAAAGGACACTTTTTTGTTCATTCTCCAAATGACACTTGCCAGCTAAAAATCTCAGTTTGTTTCCAACCTCACCTTACAACCGGTCAGTCCCTGCCATATCGCCGCATGCAACCAAACGTTATACTGTAATTATACATTTTCCTCTTGATGTATTGATTGTCATTTGCTTTTACACTGAGATGATAGAAATGAAACAAGTTTTCACCCCACATCATTCCAAAAGCAACGGCTCCAATAATTATAGTTATTAAAAAAATATCGTGTCGAAGTCAACAAAACGAACAAAATAGTCACCAGTCCAGTCACCATATAAAAAATGTTATAGCTCTCCCTCATCGTAAGATTCCATGGTGTGCGTAGGTATCATCGCCCTGGTTGTCATCATCATTGTGTTCGATTTATGATTTGTTCTGATGGCTCGCCATTGTTGGATTTCCTGTTACCAAAGTGTCATTTTGGTTTAATGCCATGTTTTTGTTTCTTTCTATTTTGTGGAGAGGGAGGGGAGCTCAATTTTCATGGCCCTGGAGAAATTAAAGGGAAGATGTAAAATTCCTTAAAATAACTCTTTAATCCCTTTTACATTCGAGGTCCAAATTTTTATTGATTTCTCAAAAACATTTTTCAGTGGCTTAAACTTGGGTTTTTTGTCACCTTTCTTTTTCTTCTTCTTCTCTGTCAAGCCATTGATGTTATTTGCGTTGAACATTTATGTCTCCGTCGACATTGATGATTTATTATCGTTTACAATCAGTAGTTAATCATTAACATTTATATTGATTTTTTTTCTGTGATCTTGGCTTACACACACCAGAAGAAGGAGAAGGTTATGGGGATCTGTGGCCCAGCAAGTCAGCATGTAAATTTTAATTATCTGATGTTAAGAATCTTTCAATAAAAATCTAAGCCACTAACAATATGGACAACTATTAAACTCAGGGGTATGGGGTGTTTTTTAAACTTTATTAAGGAAGTTTTTTATGGCCATTTAAAAAATATATATCCTACTATTTTGTATAACTATAAAATTAAAAAAAAACTTAAAAAAACGAAACATTTATTAATCCTTAAATTTGTTTTCTTTTATTTTCAGATTTTCCCACAAACTCCACACCTTGACAAACACGCTCACACACACCCACAAAAAAAAAACGATTTTCCCACCATGGAACATTTAATGACTGCCTTTATGCCACCCGCCTATTTGTTGGGTCATCACACTCCTGCCGCCGCCGCCGCTGCTGCCTTGTCTTCATCCTCAGCCACCAGCTCACCGGCCACCTCACCCAACACAATGTCTGCCTCGGGCCTAAGCAAACCCAAACGTTGGGGTTCTCCTCCCGTTAATATGGGCGGCCAGTACATAAATCCAGCCACCGGCAAAAAACGTGTACAATGCTCCATTTGCTTTAAGACTTTCTGCGATAAGGGTGCTCTGAAGATTCATTTCTCGGCTGTGCATTTGCGTGAAATGCACAAATGCACAGTGGAGGGTTGCAACATGGTTTTCTCATCGCGTCGTTCGCGTAATCGCCATAGTGCCAACCCAAATCCCAAATTGCATTCGCCCCATATCAGACGCAAAATTTCACCCCATGATGGTCGCACAGCTCAACAGTTCCCCGTCTTCCCCTTGGGACCGGCTGGCCTGTTGCCTTGTGGTCCTGCCTTTCCTGGTCTAATGCCTCCCACCGGCAGTATGGGTGGTCCCCATCATCCGGGTCATGTCATGTTTGGTGATTTCTCAAATCCAGCTGCTGCTGGTGGTGTACCCCACTTCCAACACATGCTCAATGGCAGTGGCCATGAAAGATTACCTCTAGCCTATGCCTCCAGTGGTGCTTCCAACAACTCCGACAACGATGATGATGAAGGCTATGTCCTGGATGTCCAGGGCTCCAATGCTAGTCAGGGTAGCCACAGTGATGTTGATGACTACTGTCGTGAGGTGGATGAAGAAGATGAAGAATTGATCTCCGTTTCCATTGAAGATGAAACCAAACCCATTGCCATGCATTCTGAGGATTCCAATGAACCCCTAGATTTCAGTTTAAACAAGCGTTCCAATGATGCCACACCAAACTCAAATGAACGACTCTCCGTCAGTCCCGTGCCCACAAAACAGTCCAACAGCTTCTCCATGGATACTCTCCTGGGTAAACGCAAGCGATCCTGCGGCAGTGAATCAGAAATGTCCTTTGGCAAGACCTCACCCGTCACAATTAAAATGGAACAGGATGAAGAAGCGTCGGACAACAATTGCCTAGATCTGTCTTCCGCCTCCCAGCCCAGTAAAAAATCACAAATTATTGCCACACCTGAAAGCTCTCCCCTCTCGGCCGAGGAACAACATTTGCGATTACTGCAATCGCAAATGTTTGCTGCTGCAGCCGCTGCCGCTGCTGCTCAAAGCCAAAGTCTTGAAAGTCCCGACAATACCAGCACCTCCACGCCTCCACCAACTGCACCACCCATGTGGAATCTACTCTCCGAGGTGTATCGTTCCATGTTAATGAAAACCCAACACCAGCAGCAACAACAGGAACAATCATCCGCGCAATACAATGAAATTTCCACGAATCCAATATCGGTCTAGATCTAATGGGGTTTTTTAGCCTTTACATCGTTCCAAAGATCCAGACTTTTATACAAATAAAACAAAAACGAAATAACACTCGCTTTAGGTTGTTACCTCATCAAATTCGTATTACTTTAAATGTTAAAAAAATATTGTTGTAAAGTTTCCAAAAAAAGTAAATATTAAAAAATATTAGTTTTTTTAGATGTAAATAATTTATGTAAATATAGGCCATTAGGAACAACAACAAATCCCCAAATCATCATCATTTACCTACAAAAGTATTCAGCAATATTTTAGTATCTATCCTCCACATGGAAATGTTTATTTAAATGTGTAAATTATTCTTTAAATATTTTTTTAATTTTTCCTTCACCTCCCCCTCTAGCCTTGGTGCAATACTATGTGTAATATATTTCCTCTTTTTTCTGCAAACACTTACATTTGTCTTAGTCATTATTTTTATTTTATTTTTTATTTGTTTAAACAAAAAAGTATACGTTTTTATCTCAAATTGATATTATTTTTCAACATCAATGTAAATTATTAATTATTGTACGCTCTACTCTCTCTTTTTTTTGCAATGTGTAACATATCTCATTTACATAGAAATGAAAAATAAATGAAATTTTGTTTTTTCATAAAAAAAATGATATTTAATAAATGTATAATTGCTACAAATAGTATAACAAAAAAGAAAAATTCAAATGAGTTTTTATATAGTATAATCTAGTATTAAAAATGCTTTACTATTATTATTATTATTATTATTATTATTATTATTATTATTGTAATCATTGTGAAGAGAAAAGAAAATAATTTTAGCCAATTTTATATATATACATAAAACGAAAAGAAAAACAACAAATTGTTTACAAAAAATCAAATAAATTATGAAAAATTCTCTAAATTGAAAAAATTAATCAGTTGTGTGTCTTAATTAAATGTTGGGGTGGATTAAACCAATATGGCGTTGCTTAAACTGGGAATTACATTTTTTACTTTAAAAATCAATTGATGGGGGTTCAGCCATAGGAAAACCTTCGTCATTTAATAGAACATTACTCAACAAAAGCTTAAGTCTAAACTAGTAAGGAAAGTCTTAAAGTGGGGCGGGGCCGACTTTATGATACCCTACACCACTTTGCTAATTTAGTAGAGCTCCACATAACAATTAAAAGTTTTTATGGAAGAATTCAATCATACAGGCTATGATTATAATTATAATTTAAAGTTCAAAGGAATAAATATGCCGAAGCATTTGTATCTTTTAAATTCGGACTTGTATTGCCCATTTGGTGCACAAATAATTTAAAATCGGATAAAAATATATATGGGAGCTATATTCAAATCGGAACCGATCTCGATAAAATTTGGCAAATATATTTCTGAGCTGTATTTGATATATTTCCCTGAATATCGTTGTTACGAAGTGCATATTACGGCTGTGGGTAACAAATATGACAAATCGGATGAACAGTATATATGGGAGCTATAGTTATATCTTAACCGATCACCAAATTTGACATACTAGCTTCTACACTCAATTCGGTCGTAAGTGCCAAATTTCATCCCATTTAGACAAATATTAGACGTTTGGTGCACAATAAAAGGTAAATCGGACGAAGTTATATATGGGAGCTATATCCAAATCTGAACAGATCTCGATAAAATTTAGCAAATGTATATCTGAGCTGTATTTGATATGTTTCCTCAAATATTGTTGTTACAGAGTGCATATTACGGCTGCGGAGGACAAAAATAACAAATCGGATAACCAATATATATGAAAGTTATAGCTATATGTGAACCGATTTCGATCAAATTTGGTATAGTTATTTTCAGGCCTGATTTGGTTGTATGTGCAAAATTCCATACAATTCGGACGGATATTACACGTTTGGTGCACAATAAAAGGCAAAAATCAATAAAAGCTATATCTAAATTTTGACCGATTTTCTCTGGACAGACGGGCGGACGGACAGACGGACTGACATGCATAAATCAACTCAGAAAGTGATTCTATGGAGATCCTCAAAAATAACTATTGGTCTATCTCGCTTCCTTCTCCATGTTACAAACAAATGCACAAAGACATAATACCCTTACCATTATGTGGTATACGGTATAAAAAGGGGAGGATAAGCCAAAACAAATTAAGGTCAACCCGGAATTATGCGGGGAATATACCAAAAGTAGTCCTATATCAAATAATTTTGGTAAGAATTAAAACTGGCCACTGAGAAGCCGAAATGCAAATTACTAATTTGGTTAGAAATTTTAGCTGAAACATCCAAAATACCGAAAATCAGGTGGTTGGTATGACTGTTATACAAAAAAGTGGACCTACATTGAATATTTTCTGAGAGGAGTTAACCTAAATCCAAAATCCAAATACCTAAATGTTGACCAATTTTCAAAAACCTACAAACATCTAGACTAAAATCAATTATACATTTTGATTATTGTATCCTCTATCTTGATTGTAGCAAACGGTAAACGGACGAACGTTCTTAAATCGACTTAGAATTTTATATTAATTTCAAGATATATATACTTTATGGGGCCTCAGTAAAAAAACTTGTTGCGTTTCAAACTTTAGAACGACAAACTTATATATCATCATTCATACGTTGGTGAATGATATAAAAAATGGAAAGAAATTATGTTTATTTGTACAAAATGCAAACCATCAATACCCAAAATTGAATTTAAATCAAAATCTAAGAGTTAGATTACAGTTAGATTAGCGATATGCCAAAACTTATAAAAAAACGGAATATTTTTGCCCGAAACTGAAATATTTTACCTATGTCCATCCGAAAATGCTAAATCATTGTCGGCGCAGTTGAAAATGCAACAAGAACTATGAGGAAAGTCAAAAATTTGAAAATACAGGGTGAGATGAAAAAAACTGCAACCACTTCAGAATTCTTTCGCTTGGGAGAAAGTGGTGAACTGCCGAATTTGGTTTTCTTCCATGAAAAAACATTCGTTGTCCAGCAGTTTGTAAACAAACAAAATGATCGTGTTTACTTGCAAAAGAGGTCAGCTGAAAATGTGTACCTTCAGTTGGTCACCAGAACTCAAGCGCCGGGCATGGTAATGGTGTGGGCCGCCATGACAGCCGATGGTCGCTCTTAGCTTGTATTAAACGAATATTATCGCGAAAATATTCTGGATGGTGTATTAAAGCCTTGGGCACGCAAACATTTTGTCCGTAGACCTTGGACATTCCAACAGGACTCAGCACCTTCGAACTCAGCACGCGCCACCCAAGAATGGTTACAAAATGAGGTTCCTCGCTTCATATCCAGCGAACAATGACCACTAAAATCTCCGGATACCAATCCGTTGGACTATTCTGTCTGGAGTATTTTGGAAAGCAAGGTTGGCGCTAAAAAATACCAAAGTGTCGATCACATAAAGCAAGCGCTTCACCGGGAATGACGGTTTCGGTTACATTGGCCGTTTGAAGGCCACAATTCTTACCAAAGGAGACCAATTCCAAAATGTCTAAACATATTCTAAAATTTGATGCTAATTCCGACATTTTTTGCCTTTTTTCAATAACATTAAAAACCAGTAAGGAAAGCTCAAAAGTCGGGCGGGGCCGACTATATGATACCCTACACCACTATGCTTATTTAGTAGAGCTCTCGTAGAAAGGTTTATACAGGGCATTTCAGAGCTCTATGAGATATTTGGTACAAAATCAAAATCTATCTAATTCTATCGTGCATTTTACGAACTATAGCTATCTCTGAACCGGGTTTCTCCAAATTTTACGTATTAGCTTCTAGACTGGTGATTTGGACTGATATTGACCATTTAGTGCACATTTAACCCGAAATCGGATGAAGATATATATGAGAGCTATATCCAAATCTGAACCGATTTCGATAAAATTTAAAACAGCTATTCCTGTGCTCCATCTAATACCTGGTACCAAATATCACGGTTGTGGAGTGAATATTACGAATGTATGGGACTAAAACTCTAAATCGGATGAAACATATATATGGTTGCTATATCTATATCTGAACCGATTTTCACTAAATTTGATATACTTGCTTCTAGGCTGAATTTGGTCCGATGTACTAAAATTCAGTCCATTTGGACTTATATCGGCCATTTGGTGCACAATTAACCCGAAATCGGATGAAGATATATATGGGAGCTATATCCAAATCTGAACCGATTTCGACAAAAATTACAAACAGCTATTTCTGGGCTGTATCTTATATCTGGTACCAAATATCATTCTTGTGGAGTGCATATTACGAATGTGAGAGGCTTAAACACCAAATCGGATGAAAGATATATATGGGAGCTATAGCTATATCTGAACCGATTTTCTCCAAATTTGATATACTTGCTTCTAGGCCGAACTCGGTTGGGTGTGCCAAAATTCAGGTAATTTGGACTGATAGTGGACATTTGGTGCATATTTAACCCGAAATCGGATGAAGATATATATGGGAGCTATAGCTTTTTCTGAACTGATTTTCTCCAAATTTGTTGTATTTGCTTTAAGGCTAATCTCGGTCACATGTGCCAAAATTCGGGTCATTTGGACTGATATTGGCCATTTGGTGGTCAATTAACCCGAAATCGGATGAAGATATATATGGGAGCTATATCCAAATCTGAACCGATTCTCACCAATTTCAATAGGGTTCGTCCTTGGGCCAAAAAAATATTGTTTGGAAAATTTCATCTCAATCGGATAATAAATGCGACCTGCATTTTGTTCACAAGAATACATGGACAGACGGACGGACGGACAGACGGACTGACATGCATAAATCGACTCAGAAAGTGATTCTATGAAGGTTCTCAAAAGTAACTATGGGTCTATCTCGTTTCCTTCTCCATGTTACAAACAAATGCACAAAGACATAATACCCTTACCACTATGTGGTGTAGGGTATAAAAATAATAATAACAAGTTAAAAAGCAGTAAGTTCGGCCGGGCCAAACTTTGAATACCCTCCACTATTTGGAACGAATTTGGAAATTTAAAAAAAAAATAAAATCCTTAAAAATTCTGTTTAATTTTAAAAATATCGAATATTGCCGTTACTATGGGGTCTATACAACGTGAACCTATATAGGCATTGTTTGCCATTAGCCATTACCATATTCAAATTCGAAACTTGAAATAAACGGTGAATAATGTAGCTAAAAATGTAGCTCAAAATAACGTATATAAAGAGGTACTATTATATCGGAGCTATACGAAGACCTGGACCTGCATAGACAATTTTCTGTCATTATGAACTCTAAATACGTAATTTGAAACTACTCCAGTGAATAATGACGCTAAAATCATCAAAATACCGAATATCGGGAGGTACCGTTATATGGGGGCTATACGAAGACGTGGACCTTCACAGACAAATTTCTGTCATAGGCTGTAGCATCCATTACGAATCTCAAATTCCAAATTTGAACAATTCCGGTGAATAATGTCGCTAATATCATCAAAATACCGAATATAGGGAGGTATATAACGGTATACGAAGACGTGGACCTGTCCAGATAATTTTATGTCATAGGCTGTAGTATCCATTTCGAACTTCAAATACCAAAGTTGAAACAATTCCCGTGAATAATGTCGCTAAAATCATCAAAATACCGAATATCGGGAGGTACAGTTATATGGGGGCTATATGGCCCATTAACGAACCTAACCTGCCTACTGGAAAAATAAACACGTGTGTAAAATTTTAGCCTTCTATCTCAATTCGTTCGAAAAATAGCGTGATTACAACAAACGGACAGACAGACAGACGGACAT